TAGGTGTTGATAAAAGACAGCGCTTCTTTCCTTGTGTGTGTGTGTGTGTGAGTGAGTGCAAGTGTTTGTTGGCTGCTTTGCAAGTGTATGCGTGTGAGTGTGCATATGTTTGTATGTGCGCAGTTGTTTTTAATTATGACGATCAGCTGTTTTAACAATCAAACGGTTAAAAGCGTTACGAAAGCGAAGATAGAACAACAATAAAATGAACAAACAGCAGGCGGCATAATATGTATGTATGTACAATATTGTCACTATGGTACTATCGGTAAACGCGAGCAACTTTGTAATTATGTGTATGTGTGCGTGTGTGCCTATGTATATGTAATCATTTGTGTGGGTGCCTTATTTACCATAACTTATAAATTATAGAGCTTCCACTTTTGTTATGGTCCGCACGTTGCTATAAATGTGAAATTGTATAGAACGCAATTGCTCAAATTGTTGTCGATTCTATGTATGTATGTATGTATGTGTGTGTGCGTGTTTGTATTGCGACCATTGGACTGCCGCTTGAGATTGATTGCGAGCAAATATAGACGCTCGGCAGACGACTGTTATACAAGGGACGCGTACTGTGTAAATAAGTTTGTATGTATGTAACTAAAAGGAATATATAACTACACACATACATATCTATTCACGCGGATATGCACGTTGTATACTTATGGGAGTCACCCTCAACTACTGTTTTTTTTTCTCGATTTTTCTCTAGACAAACAAAGACTTTACCACCTGAGAAACATTTTTGTTGTATTCCAAAGATTAATTCTCTCGCAAATATATCACATTATAAACTTTTGTGATATTAAAGTGGGTGACGGTGATAAAGTTGTGTAGCTACATTTGTAGCTCGTAAATAACGTTTATGTTTTTATGCATAAAAGAAGAAGAATAAACATATTTCGTAACTTTTAAATGTCTTTTGCAAAACCAGTCAAATTAGGTGTGACTGTATACACATACACATGTATGTACATACGTGTATGTACATATATTATTTACGATCTTGACTGTAGATCCAATCTTTTGTCTCTATCACACTGTAATATCATAACTCAAGGCGGAAAAATTTAACCAATGTACAATACAATATATGTATGTTTATACTTAAATTATTTCGCACACAAATTACCTAAGACTTTTATGAGTCATGCATGTGAGCAATAAATATTCTAACATCTAATTGAAATGGAATTAATTACTCTACAAGAAATATATACATATGTATCTATATATCCATAATTAGATACGTATACGCATACGTATTTATGTATCTAAATACGTATCTACCCACACTTACACACAGTTGTAAGTTTGTAATAATGTTAATTTGGCAACAATAAAAAATCACTTTTAAGCAGTGACGCACTTTGATTAACTTGGCTAACAAAGAGTCCAACCATATTTAGCATTTAGCGGAGAAAAGAGTCTTCAAATTAAATTTAATTTTGAGTGCTGGCATCAGTCTTAATGAAATAAAATGAGACGAGACGAGACGAGTCGAGTCAAAGAAGCAGGCGTCATCTCTTGTCGTGCGATGACTCCATTCCGTTTATTTTTGTAAGCACAACAGAAATACATACATATATTCATACACACAAACACACATACATACATAAGTGTGCGTCTCTAAGCAAATTGTTTTGTGCTAACGTGTTTAGAGAAATTCTGTGCGCATGTGTGTGTGTGTGTGCGTGTGTTTCTTTATAGAAATGAAACGCAAATTCCACCAAAACAATGCACACGAATATCAATCAAAGCGAAATCGTTCAAGTCTGCTAGCTAACCCCCTCCCATTCCGTTATACAAGTTAGTTGAGAACATAGCTTAATAGAAATAACAAAGAAACGAAAAGAAAGCATTGTTGTAACTGTTATTGAAGGGTGCCATGAGACATCTACATACCAGTCCTTCACACTGTCCATCTCTAACTCACAGCCACCTACCTCACTCTCTCCCTTTAACTCTGCCACCGTCTCTCTAACAGAAAGTGCCGTCCATCAGCTGTCTACATTTTGGTGGGTTCAATGGCTCTCTGGCAACGCTCAAATGTTACGCTCTTTATTTTCTTATTTTCTTTTTATTTTTTGCGCACACGTTGTCCAAAGTCATTCAACCCAAAAACCAAATAACGTAAAATAAAACGCAAAAGGAGGAGAGCGACGGCTGCGGCTGCGGCTGGGACAGCAACGGAACGGGAAGCAGCAGCAACAGCTACAGAAACGTCGGTGCCTGGCGGGGTCACTGAGCGAGTTCACTCTCCCTCTCTCTCTCTCTATCACTCTCTTTTTCACCCACTACTCTCCTTCGCTTCCCCTTGTTAGCTTAGCGTCCGTTAAACAACAACAACAAGTAGCAATGGGGTAAAATTTGAAAATATTGCGTAGCACGGGTCTCCAAAACAACAAAGCAAGTTCTGCTGCTGCTTCTACTGCTACTGCGATTGTGGTGAGTGTGACCAGCCTCCCTCAAAACAGCAAATGCAATGCAAATAACTCAAGAAGCTCGATGCCAGGCAAACTCAGGATGTGTTCATTGAAACTCATTTAGAGATCAACTCGCAAAGAGAGGGCAAACTGTATGTGTGCGTGTGCGTGTGTGTGTTTGTGTGTAACAGCTCGCCTAAATGTCTGTTAATTTCTAGAGCAGTGCACCACACACATACATACATACACTAATGTGTTCATGCGGCGTTGCTGATATACATTTTCGTCAACAATTTTCAATTCATTTGTATTTTTTTTATCAACCAAAACTAATATATGACCTCCCCCACCTCCACGCCAACTGTCAGATTATCAGTAGAAATAAAACTGGCTGTCGGTATATGAATATGATAAGCTTAGACCACTGTGCGTTTTATATTCTGTTATCTGGCCCGCAGGCCCATATAAAACGCAACCGCAAACGCTTGGACATTGACTCAAAATGACAGATGAAAAACAGAATAAAAAACATTTTCTGACATTTCACAATTATTAACGACCTGCCAATACCCTTCCCAATCAGGGCGCTCTTTAAAAAAACCAAGGAAAATGAATAATGTTCTCTCAGAGATAGCTAAAGTAGGTTAAATTCATAGCATATACGAAATTATTTACATACAAAATAGAACACGCTGAATTTATTCACTTTTCAATATGCGCAACAAGCTTTTTCTTCGCTTCTCTTTTCACGTCAACTTATCTATACATATGTATGTATGTGTGTGTGTATGCCTGTATACATTTCTACTTATGGTAATCTTTCGCACTTAACTACCTTTTGAGAATTTTAAGCATTTAAATGAAATAAAATATGCATGATCATGTCTAAAAAAATCTATTACATACGCACATACGTATGTATACATAAATATTGTGTACATATGTACATACTTTATTCTAATATTAATAACAAGATTTCACAATTTATTAAATTGGTTAGGAGTACTCAAATAATATTACATGAAAATAAAGTTCAAGCTCTATGGAGTTGCATTCTATATATAGGGGTCTTATGGAATTATGAATTTTTATGGATTTACGCATTGCTATATATATGTACATGTATAAATATTTGTATGTATGCTTAGCCATGAGCTGGAGTCACGACGCCACACAGGTATGCACGATAAATAGAGCAATGAGGGAAATAAGAATACAAAATCAACGATAAGCCCGAGATGATAAGTCGACGAATGCGGAAATCAAGCAACAGGAAGTCTCAAAAAGTTAAGATAACATTATTAAAATTGCAATTACTTAACAGTAGGCGATATTACACATTATTCCAATGAGTGCTGAACTTACTCATCAAAAAGAGCTATGAATTTGAAAAATCAAGAGTAAGCTCTTTTTCACCTTAAACTTATACATAATACAGGCACTGTAAAATTACAATGGTGATATTGAAAAAAAAAAAAATCTAAATTTAAGCGCGATTCGTCAAAGCTTAATTGAAGATCATTAATTTGTAAAAGCAATTAGATGCATTTGGACTTTTGCAAAAATAGTTATGTATTAGATATACATACATATTTATGTATGTACATATGTGATTTCTAAGCTCTCCTGAACTGTTAACTTAACGCTTTATGGTTATCTCCCATTAACTCCCGTTTAATGAACTTTAAGATGTGTGTTTGTGTTTATTGCAATATGAATTCGCTGTACCTATACACAAGCATTTTCTTTGTTGTCTACCCGCTTCTGGCGTCGTCAAAAGGAAATAAAATAACGCTTAAAAACTCAAGCGAATAAAAATCAAGGATACCCAGCCAGACAGACAGAGAGAAAACGAGAGAAAGAGCGCGTTAACAGTTTCTTTGTCTGCAGCAAAGACCAGAAGAGAATAAACCCAAGCAAAGCTGACGGCGACGTCGACGTTGATGTCGGCAAGACTCACACAGCTGATTAAGACGACAACAACAAAAGTAAACGTGTGTGCTTGCAGCGGGGGTGTACGAAATATGGATGGGAAGAGGGGAGGTTGCTCTGGCTGCTATTTCTGCTAGTGCTACTGCTGTTTGTCTGTCAACAAAAAATTGAAATGAGACGCAGTGAGACGTGAATTGAAATCATTTACTCATTCCCATATGCGGAGTAGCACATGCATATGTATGTATGTATGTATAATATATGTATAATCTATATACATGTACATAGTAGAACGTTGCTATGCGATGTACATACTACCTCTTCATACATCTACAAATACATGTATGTATGTACATGCATACACACGCACGTAGAACAGAAACAAGTTTTAAGCTCTACAACGCAATCCTCAAAGTTCTCTTGTGAAATTCGAATTCTAACTGTCATTAACATGTTAATACTCAAATTCAAATGCTGCCCATATATGTATGTACATAGTATGTTTCTTGTATTTACATGCATACATATTTTTCATACATACAGAAATAGTCATAGACTTTCATACGTAATGCAAATTGGGTACGTAATTCGCTAAAGACGCAAAACCAAAGCGAAATGTAATCAAAATGGCTGACTTACCGTTTAACCAACGAATAAATAGAAGGGCAAAGAACTTGCAAGGTTGCCCCACAGCTTTCCGATTTTATTCCTGTTGCCAATTAGTTTAGTTGCTTCACTTGGACATTTTTGCAGTTCAGTTGGACTTTCGCATAATAAATATTGATTCGATTCGCTTCGCAGATCCGCTGCTGCTTCTGCTGCTCCTGCTTCCGATTGGGACTGTTGTTATTTGCCTTCTCCACTCCTTCCTTATTCAATTGCACACAAACGTAGACGCACACGCACACATCAAGCAACGCCGACGCCGACGCTCAGCTGTGCTTTGTTGCTACAAATGCTGCGGTTGCTGCTGCCCCCGCGCCAGCTTACAGCCGACAACGGTAAATTTTCGCACATCGATTATTTGGCTCCGTTTTGAACATTATTATTGCATGCAGCTCGAATTGAATTAATATTTATTGCACGCACACTTAAATTCAGGTGCACCAGAGTCAACAAAGAGCCACTTTTTACATAATATGAAATGTACAGAGGCGAGGCGAGGCCCAAGCAGCAGGCGTCAATTGCTTTCTTTCTTTTACTACTGCATTGCACATTCTGTTTCTCGCATTTTGCTTTCTGCTTTCCTTGAACTTATTATAGCATACAGCATATACATATCTCTGTATTTATGTATGTGTGTAACTGTAAACGCAAGCAGCACTGCAAGTTTATTGGCGTACAATGCGGAAAACCGAAAAATAATTAAACGAAAAAAGCCAATTGTTTGATTTTTTTATTCACTTGTCTACCGCACTTTTCGTTCGCTCTCGTCTCCTATGTTTCACTTTGTTGTCTTTATTAGGGAAAATTGATCGTTGCTGCTAAAGCGAATACCACAACAAATTGAACCACAGTCACTGCTGCTAGCGAACAAAACCAATTTCGCTGCTGCAACAACAACAACACTTTCACCGCTGTTAGGAGCGTCTTTGGCTGCTGCGTTTTGCATAATTAAGCGCGTTCACACACAACACACAAACACACGCTTTTAATATTCACTGCAGATACAGATTGTTAATAATCTCAACATAATTGTTTATTATTTCGATATGCCTTCGTCTAGCGCAAACTAAACAACTACAGCTCGATTGCAATCGAAAAGTATCTCATAATCATTAAACGATGACGGCGATAACTGAGGAGGCTGAACGATAACTACTTATCGAAGAAAACAGTGTCACGTTATTACCGTTTTCTTAATGGAGCACCACTGAAATGCGCGCTCATTTTAAATCTTTCTTTGACATGCCCATATTAAAAATCTGATTTTGCACACATATGTCTGTACTTACATATTCACCTTCGAAAGCTTAGCACATTTTATTTCGTTAAATAAATATTTGTCGTTTTTCTTTTTTATGTATAGACCTTAAGGTAAGTTTAATTAAAGTTGATGATATCATAAAACTATTGATGCACTTATTGGTTCATATATTATAGAAACACATAAATTACTAGTTAATTAGCTATAGATTGTTTAGCTACAAGCCATTAGATGAGGCAACCAATTGATATTTTAAATGCTACATTTAGTTTTAAGCACAACAAATAAATTTACACATATATTAAATGTTAAATTCCCACTGGCAGCGTGCCTTTTGTGTTTACTCTACTAAGATGTAAATATGTCTAGATGCGTAATCACCAATAAGATCGCTTTAACTCTTATTAGAAATAAGCTCGGTTTCTTGATACCCCAGCTATGTAGCATAGATAGCTTTAGTTCATATAAGAAACCTGTGTAAAAACCAATTGGTAGAAACTCGAAAGGGAGATGACAAAAAGTATTTCCAATTTGAAATGTTGTACCCGCTCTTCATTTTGTGTGGAATACATTTACAAAATAGACAATTATACATGTATAGAGTTATATAATTAAATATATATATATTTTGTTTTCTCATAATGTATATATATATATTGATTTATTTACCATGTGTGTTTATGTAATGTTTTAGAAACGTGATCCATCTGTTTGTTTGTTTATTTGTGTGTAAAAGATTTGCTTGCACTTGAATGGTTATTATTTGTATTTTTTTGTTTTTTCTCGTTTTTTGTTTTTAGTTTGTGTTTGTTATGGTTTAATATACAAATTGTATTTCGTTGACATTGTGTGCAGCCAGACACAAACACAAGCACATGTATGCCGATGCGTGCTGTGTGACTATATATTTATTGCATATTGCATAATGTATAATGTTCTTTGTTATATATGTATATGCTTACATATGATTTAGCTGGCAATAAATTAAAAAAGAACGGAATATAGCAACAGTTATATTGGAAAATAGCCTAAAATTATTCATTGACTGTAAGGTGTGTGTGTGTGTGTGTGTAGTTGTATGTGTGGGTGAACGCTTTGTGGTTCTATCGACATCTTTAGACTTGATTAAAATCTCAGTTATGTATATATACATACATATACACATATATTAGTATTATATGCATTTGCTCTCACTAATCATAAAATCATAATTGTATCAACACCTAAACAGCATGCAAGCAAGTTGTATGTGTATGCTTGTGTGATCGTGTGGGCGTGTGAAATTATAGAAAATATTCAAGTGAAAATATATGTATACATACATATACATATGTACGTATATCTACATGCAAAAGCAAAACATGTTTAGCTAATTTGATTGACAATTATTCTTAAAGATAAACAAAAAAGATCAGATAGATGAAACAAACATGAAAACTTTACAAATAATAATGGCTAATAATACACACAAAAATCATTAAACGTTATCTAGTTAACATAACAGCTTAGCATATTAAATAAAATAATCACAATTTTACATGTTTGAAGGACAGAGTTTTAGAAACTCTTTGAAAGTAATAAAACTAAAGACTATTAAAAGTGTTTTGCTTCGATTCGTTTTAGTAAAACGAATTTCGTTACAATTTTTGTGTGTTTCGAATGCTTAAATATCGAGTTATTAGAATCTTGCTTTAGTTATACACAGTTTCTATCGGTGTGTGTGTGTGTGTGTGTGTGTGTGTGTGTTGTAGGTGTTTGTGTGTGAGCGTAGCTGTGTTTTGCTTTGCTTCCTGCACTTATCATCCATCATTCCAGCATCCACCATCCACCGTTCATTAGTCGCCGCCTTCAAGCAATTTGAGATAATACAACATCGCAATGAGCATCAGGCTTAGGAGCATGGCAATCAGGATGATGCAAACAGGCCAACATCAGTCCGTGGCAGATTTGCGCATTATCCTTCGGGCAAAGCCAATGGCCGTATCTCAGAGAATCTCACAGCAGCGACAATATCTTGGACGATGCCCCGTTGTCACAGCGGGCGGTGTGACAGGTGCAAAATAGGCGTGCACCTTGATATTTGGTAGATGATTCTGAAAGCAAAACAGAAAGTTCAGCAAATGGTATATACTCTATAGATTTACACATATATTCGAATATATATATAGCTACTGCCTGCTACCACGCCCACCTTCAGTTTGCGTATGGCTGCGCGTGAAATGAGCTGGCAGTCAAAGAGCTCGATGCGCTGCAAATTGTGGCACGACACTAAATGCTCCAGCGTTCGATCCGTGATCAATGGACAATTGTCCAGCTCTAGCACCGATAGACTCTCAGCTGCACAGCTGCCCGTAGTCAAATGCCGTATGCCATCGTCCGTAATCAGTTCGCAGTGCGACAGCGTCTATAAGGGAAACGAACGATGTATAAAACTAACTCAATTATAGGGTATTCTAGGAAAGCTTACCAGCTTCTCAAGACTGGGACAGCCGGTGGCCAGGTGAGCCAGCGTCAGATCCGTTATCTGGCTACACTCCTCCAAATCCATGCGCTCCAGGTACTTGCAGTTACGGCCCAACGCCTGAAAGCCAATGTCCGTAAAATTGCGACAGCCCGACACCTCCAAGGTGTTCAACTGTTGGTTGTGCTGCGACAAGGCCATCAGCGAGAGATCAGTTAGTTCCACACACTTGGACACGCACAGCTTCTGCAGTCGAGGGCAGCTCGCGGCCAACTGCCGTATGGACGTGTCGCTGATGGTCTGCAAAGGCAAAGATACAGCTATAAATGTAGGCTAAAGAAAACTTCATAGATATTTCATTTGGAAACAGATCTGATATGGAGATCACTACACCTAGAAATACAGCTTGAGCTTCTCATTTGTTTATTTCCCCACATTTGCTATCTCAATTATTAATTAGCCAGTTACAATTGGCATTACCTCGCAGCTGTGTAGATTTAGCACCATTAGATCGGGACAGTATTTGGCCAGGCACGTGATGGCATTGTCGTTTATTTGTTTACAACCTTTGCTGCTGAACTTTCGCAGTTTGACACAACCGCGTGCCAGCGCCTCGATTCCATTTTCGGACACCAAATGGCACCAGGACACATTGATCTCCAGCAGGTTCTACAAAATAAGCACACTCATATTACTTCACTTTTTTCGGAATTAGGCTAATATTGAGTTGATTTACCGGACAGCCATCCGATATATATTTGAGGCTATTATCTGTTATGTTCGAGCAGGAGTCCAAGTTGATGGCCGTCAGCTTGCTGCAGTATCTGCTTATGTCTGCGACTGCATTGTCTGTGATCTCCTTGCATTTCGACAGATCCAGGTGTTCGATATTGTGGCAGTGATTTGCTAGAGTTCTGCATAATAAAAAACGTTTTTATACAATTATTATTTATAATTAATAATTTGAATGCAAGTTTCTCAATTCCTCAATGCTTTCGGTTTAAGTTACAATTCCAACTACACACACACAAAAGGAAATAACTGTCTCTATATCCTCTCACTGTATTGCCCTTATGTCTCATTGAATTGTTTTCACTCTCTCTCTCTCTCTTTTCTTTGAGCGAAGCTGCACTTTGTTGTTGGTTCTTATTTGCGCTCAATCAAAATTGCGCTCTCACTTTTTTGAGTGATGCTCTTTTTCTATCTCTTCTTCTTCTTTTTCTTCTCACTCTGCTTGCTTCACATTAAAAACGCAATTTAAACGCATTCAATTTCGTTAGAGTGAATTATGCTTTATTATATACATATGTATGTACATATATGTATTACATACATATGTATAAATAAGTGTATATACATACATATATTGTTACTTACTTTATGGACTGATCTCCCACGAATTGGCAGCCACGAAGCGATAAAGATTTGAGAAAGCCGCCGCATCGTTGCGATATATTCTCGATCACCGGGCCCTGTATGAACGGCGTGCGCAAGGAAAGAAAAAGCATAATGATAATTAAAGGTAGCCAAGTCAGGTAATGCATAGCGATTAAATACACACCTCGATATCACGTTGGAAATCGAACAAATTGATTTTCTGCCAGCTGGAACCGTCTAAGGCGAGCACATTCCAATATTTGCACACCTACGCACAAATAATTTAGTTTCATCTGTATGCATATTGATGTTGAGCGACTCACCTGGGCACAGCGGCATAATGAGACGACATCCAGGTAGGAGAAAACGCGCAGCAATACCTCCTTTGGCAGTTGTTTGATTAGCTCATCGTCCAGTTCGGTGGCGCCTAGGAATGTTTGCTGTGAATAAATGACAAAGTCATGAGCCAGCGTACACACACTCACACGTATGTACATATATGTGGATGTAGCTCTGACATCCACACAAGTGTTAAATGAGTAATTTGTTTTTAATAGAAATTTGATGCGACTGTCGTACCAAAACAAAACAATTGACTCCAATCTTAATTGAGGCTGCCCCAAAAACAATGCTCAAACAATAAAGGAAAAGAACAAATTAATTGATGAACAATGCTCGAGACGGAAAGAGAGAGAGAGAGAGAGTGGGGAAGATAGAGGAGAGAGAATACAACAGGGCGAGGCGAGACGTGGGGCTATGTACAAAATGATAGCCTTGATGAATGACCGCTGAGAGATGCCATATCGAGTGAATGGAGTGGAAACCGAAAATCAAAGCAATATTTGTATTTGTTTTTTTTTTTTTCTTTGTTTTTGTTTTTCTGATCTGTCTTTGTTTTCTTTTGTGTTTAATCTTACGGACTCGTCCTGTTCCACACCGAGCTGCATTGGCATTTGTGTGCGCTGCTGCTGCTCTACAACGCACGCCTCATCTGCTGCTGGCGAAATTGAGGATGCGCTGGATGAGTAGCTGGCGCTGACGCCGCTGCCAGTGCCACTGCTGCTGCTGTTGCTGCTGCTGCTGCTGTTGCTACTGCTGCTGCTGTTACTGTTAACAGCCATAATGCTAGCAATGGGCGCTGCGCTGCCAAAGGTTGCTGTGCGCCAAATGCTGCTGCAGATGCCACTGATTAGATTTGTGCTGCCGCTGCCGCTGCCGTTACCATTGCTGTGGTTATTATTGTTGTTCACATTGTTGTTGTTGCTGCTGCTGCTGTTGCTGTTGCTGCTGCTGCTATTGCTCAGCTGTAAGCTCAAATTTCGATTGGCATTCGCATTATTGTTGTTCTCTGCGCTGTCATCCAACAAGGCCGCAGCAGCGGCAGGCGTCGACGCACTTACGCTGACGCTGGTGCTGTTAGTTGCCGTTGTACTGGCGCCGCTGCTGCTGAAGCTGCCACTGCCGCTAATGCTGCTGCTGCCGCTGGGTGGACACAGCAACTCAATACTGCCAGCAGCGACTCCACCACCACCTCCACTGCCGACGCCACCGCCACCGCCGCCGTCATCAGCACTGCCTCTGCCACTGCCACTATTAGGCGCAGCACTAATACCACTACGCGCAAACATCAAGGGTTCGTTCGTGTAAGCTCTTCAAACGCAAAGCAGCGTTGCTCTAGTCTTTCTTCCGTTGCCTTCTGTTCTTTAAAGCGTCAACTCTTCGACTGACGCTCACTCACTCAGCGAGAGAGCGAACGAGAGATAGAGAGAGAGAGAAAGGTCTTAGCCGTTGCGCGCTATTGTTTGTGTCTTCGTGTGAATGCACGATTAAATTATTCACAAATTGCGTATTTGGTTATGTCGTGATATATTCCCCTCTCTTTGACTTTTGTTTGTTTTTGGCTGCTGCTGCTGCTGCTGCTGCTGCTGCTTGACGAAAACAAACCATAAATTTACAATGAAGAGACTTCGTCGCGCTCTTTTCCGTTGCTGCTCTTCGAATCGCTTATTTAATCAAGAGTGCTTAGTCAATCATTCGCTCCGCCGCTCTTCGTATCGAGTGCACTTTTTGCTCTTTTTACTTTTTACACCAGGAACTTGTGTTTGTTGAATTGTTTATTCATTGTATTTTTATTATTGTTGCTTTTGTTTCGATATTTGGTTTAGCTTTTAACTTTATAGCTACGCGTGGCGCGCACGTGAGAAATAGAACAGAAATACATATTAAAAGACATCATAATATCCACCCAAGGTTGACGTCGTTACAATGCAACTTATGCAGATTTAAATGAATTTCTTAATAATGTAATATACATTTGTATACATACATATGTATATTGTTTTATATTTGTCTTCAACCTATATGGCCAACTGATCTTTCTGCCTCGCGCATAATTGACAACTCACACGCTTCGCGTTATGCCTCCGACTGAGACCCCAAAAACGGACGACCAGTCAATGACCATGCGCCAACTCCCCTTATTCCGCACCACCTCCCCCTAAAATATTTAAAGTGTATGGCATTCAGCTTAAATGAAAAATCATCAAAGCCAATTTAAAAAGGCAATCGAACGTGTTGCGAATTCGAGTAAAGCGACCAAAGAATAAAACCACATACATACATACAGACAAGCATACAGCAGACCAGCTGATTGGAACTTGATGATCGGCTCAATAACTGGAAGTAACCAGCGAGTGACCAAAAATACATGCAAAACTTACATATGTACATACATACATGTAGACATGTGTGCATAAATATTAATATAAAAATTATAAATATTACATGAAGTATTGTTCATATATAAATAAAAAGTTCATTTATGAGCTTAATGCTCAATATATAAACACTTATGTACACACATATGTATGTATGTATGTATAAGAGTGTCACAACTCAATCTGCGTTCATTTATTAAAAGGAAGCTTAAGTATATCAAAAGAGCGAGCAAAAGCAAACTATAGCGCAAGAGAAGACTTAAAATTCCTTTTTCCCCATTTTTTTTTTTAAATGGACACACATTTACATATACACATGTGCATATGCATGTATTATATTACAATAGGTACATATAATGAGGCTTTATTCGTCGCATTGAAGATCATTATATTGCTGATTGGAGGACTCATGCGATGAGTGACAAAGCTTTTGAATTAAATTCGTATTTATAGAAGTAAAATGAAAATGTACATACATATGCATTTAAATAGACATGCATGACACACACGTTGCATGTTCATCATGCCTTTATGTCTATGCTAATTTGTAGCCTTGCTTCAATGGCTCACAGCAACAACTATCAACATGCTCTTATATGGCCAACTCTTATACTGTCAAATCTATGCGAATCTATGTAACCGATATGATACACAAATCTTTCTATGCACTTACATACATAGGAATAGCGTAAGCAAGCAGAAAGGGCTGAGTGGAAGCCGCAACAAAGATAGGGGAAGAGAGAGAGAGAGGGGTGAGCACACAGTTATCGCATGTTTCATGGCTTGTGTGAAATCATCTCACATCAAAATTCTTATTTATTTTAACTCAACTAAAAGGCTTTAATTCATTTCGCATGATTAGGTGCACACTTTTCACTTGCCACAATGAGAAGCGACGGTCACACAGAAGGCAGAAGTTTTGATTATTTGTCCGAGGGTCGTTTGAGAAGTAATTGATATTACAATTACATTCGTTTTTATATAAAAAAAATAAACAAACAATAAACAATGTATGATCACTTAATTACATCAATCAACAATATATGCATTCGTTTATTTATAATTAATAATACATGAGCTGCCCTCGCTCGAGTACGTGATTCTGGGTACACTATTATCTGGACGTTGTACGCTGATTTGTTAGGAACGTCGAAGCTACAGCCCAAGTCTCACAAAAAAAGAAAGAAGAAGATGAAAAACACGCTCTACGAACAGCTGAGAGGCATAATGTCGAAAATAAATTGGAATCGTAAACGCAATTACGGCGCAAAGGCACAAGCAAAGCAAAAAAAAGCGCAAAGGTGCTAAAAGACGAGAGAGCGAGAGAGTGTGTGACAGAGATAGAGCTATTGTGTTGATCGTCTTAAAAAGTAAACAATATTTAAAATGCAAACTCTGCATATCGACCACTGTTGTCTTATTGCTTTTATGGACAGCGACCTCGACCAAATGTAATGGACAGAAGAACAACAAACCTATATATGCATGTATGTATTTGCATATAAAAGCTATTTATATTTGTATTTGAATATAAATACAAAAAATTGGGAAGCGAACTGCATTTATATAAGCCATGGCCAAATCAAACAGCCCAGCTAGCCAGTCATGCAGTCAGCTGTGTGTCAATTGGCGAGTCTATTGCACTGATATACATACATACTTACATATGTATGTACATGTATATACAAAAAGTATATGACAATCTGTATATGGGGCTCTCGAAGGCCACAAGGTCACCGAAAACTGGGTCAGTCGTGTGCATATCTGTGCTACATACAGTTATCTATGTATATGAATGTAAGTATGTATAATGCATATACATATGCATGTGCGTACGTGCATATGTCTGCGTGCTTTTTGCATGCATGTACCTAAAAAGAATTATGCGAGCACGCAAATAACAATCAAAAGCGAGACGCAATAAAAGCAATGAAAAAGAATAAAACCTTATCAGCATAGACAGAGGCACAGAGAGACAGCTAAATTACAAAAGCATAACAATTTCCCTTTTGCAGCAGTGTGGGACCAACTACCGTTGGAGCGCAAAACAGACAGCGATAAAGAACAGAGAACAGCTGACGACACACAAGGAAAAAAACACACGCAAACTAAAGGCAACTGTAATAAAGTGTTATATGTATGTATGCAAAAACACCAAACAGTCACACTCACGAGCACATATGTATGAGAGCGAGCACTAATACATTTACACTTAAGTTTTACATGTCCAGTTGATAATAAAAAAAACACAGTAAATAAATAAAAAATACATCGCGTACCATTTGTTTTTTTAATGTTTAATTTCTGTTGAATTGGTCTTCTTTTATTACTGTGCGACGATTTACATAGTACGCGCACAAATTCAGCAAAAGAATTTCAAAGATTTCTACACAAATAATTTTGACTTTTTACTTTTTGTTATGTGGATGCGCTGGAAAAACCAAAATCACACAACCAGAGTAAATGCAGACACGCGAGACAATGACAGCGCAGCGACGACCGCAACAACGCGACGACATGGATAACAACAGAGCACAGAATGGTAACTGAGCGAGCAGCGAACAGCGAACAGCTGCAGCTCGAATGCGCTCTGCTCGGGCCTCGAAAATGCATGTGGGGTCACACTTACAATTACACACACACTACATACACATGCAAGCATATACTATGGAGCGCGCGCCAGATGCGTGCGAGGGGGCGGTGCAATGCACCCACAAAAATAACAACACGAAAGTCTCAATGAGAGCGTATGTATGTGTGTGCGCGCCGAAGGCAGAGCGAACAAACGAGCGACTGAGTGAGAGTGAGAGAGCGCAAGCGTTTGACAAACAAAAACAAATGTCGGCATGGAACCAACTAAAATTCCACTGCTGCGTTTAAAGCGCCACCAACACCAACACCACCAACACTATGAATGGCTGTATAATACTTACATACATACATGTACATATGTTTGCATTCACTTTTTAATTGCATGCATAGTGCTGCCAGACAGTTGTAATTTCATGTCAGCTGTTTTTCCGCTGAAAAGCCCTGTGGTCATCTTTGCTTTTGTTGTTGTTATTGCTGTTAACTTAATTTCAATAGCAATCCAGACACAATTTAACTGTAAACGAGAACTCACACACACTCATAGTCACATTGACTCATGTACATTTTTAATCCATTTTCGACAGCTAAGAACGATAGCTACAACGCAAATCAAAATCAGACACCTTCCGCCTTCCCCTTCAGGCAATTAGCATGGGTTGGGCAACTCTATAAGCGGAGAGTGGATTGCGGGCTGTTGCACTCTGCTTCCAATTAGATGTCTAGCGCTGAGTCAAACACACTCTTACTCTAACCCTCGTTTGTGTGGATGTGTGGATGTGTGTTTATGTATTGAAGACTTCAAAGAAGTTCCTAACACTGGTCATTAGCTGGGAGCTAGACTGGATGTGAACAGTTACGACAGTGGGGTCGACGTCAACGAGTTTATTGCACTTTTGCTAAGTCGCTGTTAACTTGTGTAAAAAGACAAACAGTGAGACAAGTTTGGGGTTGGGTTAGCAGCCACTTACACTTTTAGGAGCGGTTAGGGCATGAAAGCAACAGCGTGCAGCGCCAACAAAGGCGACATTTTGCTCGTGACAAAGAACCAACTTGCTATAAAAGAAATCATAAGAGGAAATAAATGTATATATGTATGTATGTGTGCATGAGCATAACACAACTGCATTCGTGTATAAGGGGGAAGTAGAACGAAGGGCGATAATCTTGTTTGACTGACTGTCTCGTTGTCTGGAGTTTATGTGCGTGTGTGTGTGTGGGTGAGTGTTGTGGCTGATGCGCGCAAACAAAAGAGCAACAACTATGAGCAGATGCACAAATAGATACACATACATACATATATTACACACATTCGCGGATATTTTAAAATGGAATAGCCAATGAGAGGCACTGAAGCTGTTTATTGTTGCCTTTGGCTTTTATTGCTTTGATTGTTGTTGGCACTGCTCTTAAATTGCATTCCCAGTCAGCTAAACAGACTAAAGTAAAGGAAACACAAAATTCTCATATGCGCTACCAATATGGGTTTAGCCTACACCCACCCACACACAAAGTAAACAAGGTTCTGTTTTCTTTACGCTTTATGACGCTTTTCGTGTGAATGGAGCAACATACATACATACATATATTTAGAGACTCATACAAACATATTTGCTTGCATCCAGAGGACATGTAAATATGTATATTCATGTATAATGTACATAAGATATTCTACTTACATCGATTCGATTATGGCGATGGTTCGAATTGGTCATTTTATGCGTTGCGATTTGCTGTCGTTGCCCTCTCTCTCTCTGTCTTTCTCGCTCACGCTCACGCTCTCTATCTGTGTGGAGATATTTTTCTTTGTTGGTCGGCCGTTACGGCGTCCCCTTCCCACGCGCACAACAGCACACGCTCTTCAGTGCCTGTGTGTAAGTGTGTGTGAGTGTGGGTAAGCAGGAAATTATGCGTCGCACTGCGGCTGCTGCTGCTGCTGCTGCTGCTGTGTTTGTACCAGTTGGTTGTTAATGCACTGGAGTTCTTTGTTCTTTTGCGACGTTGTTGTAGCTGCTACTGCTGCTGTTGCGTCGTTATAATTATACATTATAACCAACTGAAATTGTAATTAAGCCGACTTGTTCCTAATGCGTAAATAACTTTTCCCTGTCGAGCAGTTTTTTCATTGTGTTTTCGATCGTTATTTGCAGTTATTTTTATGCACATTACACTAACTTATCGTGTACGAATATACACAATGATAAGATATTATTTTTATCTGTTCTCAATCGCGATTTTGCTTTGCAATTGCAGCATTACAATGAAAAATCTGCAATACATTTAATACGTTTCGCCACTCTGCGCGTCTCGCTCTAACTTTGTTCTGTTTATGTTTATTTTTCTTGTGAAAATTTCGACGAGATAACCACAAAGTAGCGATGAATCCGATGAATCGATGCAAATCAGCTGTGCTGCGCGTTTGCTCATCTCTATGGGCGACATGCAATCTACGATGAGCTTAAACAAGGTCAGCTGTGAAATTCAAGAAGATATGTTAATTAACAGCAATTGAAATGTACACCAGCTATTGATTAAATTTGTTTATGCTTTATGAAATATAAATGTATGTGCACTACGAATTAAATGGGATAGGTTTTATGTGACATACATCGATTTGCGAAGATAATCTATTGAGAGTTTACTGCACTGCTATAATCGATACAATGCATAAGAATTTGATGACAGCATGTGAAAAATTTGATGCAAAATTATACCTGTTTTCAAAAGAAATCTAAAATAAATTATCATGTAATTCAAAAGTGAACTTTGTGGATACGCTAAATATCGATAGCAAACCCGATAGTGCGCGGTGCCAATTTAAAACTGAATAACTAATAAATATATATCATTTTATTTGTTTTATATGTGAAATTTATTTATATTATTTCAATATATTTATTACACTATTGGTATAAATTAAAAACATGTTTGATTTATCTATTTGAGCAATACAATCCACAATTAACCGGTGCCGCAAGTGTGACCATATTTTGTGTCCAAAAAATACATTTAGTATTCTGTGTGAATATACATTAAGTACATTCAGCATTGGTTTGTTGTTTTTCCGTCAGAAATCTTTCTCGTTTTGTTTCATCAACAAATAAGATCTAAAAATGTGGCCGGTAATTATGGCACTTCTACGGCGGAATGCTGTTTACATCACTTTACCAGCGGCAGCCGTCGTTGGATTTATTGGCTATAATCTCGAGAGTCTTCTGTCAGACAAGTACACACCATATAGTCGTGAGTGATATTTTTACTCGTAACTACATAACAGCCTAAATTAATATACATATTTTTAATTATAGCTTCCATACAAGAGATACGCTCTCAGCGCCAAGTTGCTGAGATAGAAAATGCAGTTAATGTCGAGAAATTAAAGCTGTCGAGTCCCGTTCTGGAACGTAATTTATCGCCATCGTTGCAGCCGAAAACGTGATTGCAAATTGTAGAGTAGCATGTTACCTAATTATAAAAAATGTAAATTAAAATTCTAGTTTAATAAAAGTAAAAAATTAGATGGACATTCTCAAGTTTTAAATCGAAGTCCACTTTAACATCCCTTGCGGGGATCGAACCCGCGACCTTTGGATTAGAAGTCCAACGCGCTATCCTCTGCGCCAAAGGGACAGGTGGTGGACGCTTTGCCAATAACTTATACAAGCCAAGTCGAGTTTTTTCAAACTATTCTAAAGCAAAAGCTCACTGCGCCTGCCAGCTGTCTACAAAAAATGTATAACGTCTCTATGCATATTTAAAGCTGTACCAACAATTTGAGGCATCTAGAACGATTCTGAGTCAAGTGATTTGTTAAACGTTATGACGAACATAGCCTCGGTGGCGCAGTTGGCAGCGCGTAAGTCTCATAATCTTAAGGTCGTGAGTTCGAGCCTCACCCGGGGCATGTACATTTTTTTTGTTATTATTTTATAAATGTGGTTTGTATTTATTTTTTTTTTTTCTTTTTATATTTATTCAGCTTGACTTTTTTTTTAAATGGATCTAGGTTATTGCTTATATCAGAAACGTTAACATGCTCTTTAGCTTAATTATTGTTTTTGTGAGATGACGCCTTGGCCTATTTGCCCATGCGCTGAATGGACCATTCTTGCTGACACAGCGGGCAGCGATTGTTCTGCTTGACCCACAGCGACATGCAACAATGATGAAACGAGTGATTGCACTCGCCCCAAACAACAACACAATCCTGTCGACCTAACACGTCCCGTTTGTTCTCCGCCTGGCAACGCAAACACGAATCTGCAAAGAAGAGAAACAGAATAGTTATAAATGCGTCAACGATCGAGTAGCGGGCAGTTAAAAAGGGAGAGAGAAAAACGTCATCAATTAGCATTGGCCGACAATTAGATGCGTGCTACGTAGTACGTAAAATGTGACGTAGTAAAAACGGAAAAAATTATATAAAGTCAATCACTTGCAGCTGTTTTATTTGTCAGCACTTCATTAGAGGCCTGCTTAACGAGAGTAAGCGAGAGAGAAGGGGTGAGCTATTACGCTAAGATCGCAGATATTATTTCAAATGTTATGCGTTGGTAGAACAATTGTATTCTGTGTATGATTGACTCAATGCTGTTTCCCGTTTCACGCTGTTTACGATTTCGCGAATTTCGCAATTTTCAATTTGCAATTTGATGTGGCTTCTTATCGCGCGATTTAATTCGTGTTCATTCAACAGTTCACACAAACACACATATACACACATGTATATTTTTTTTGACGCTTCATTCAATATTATGTTAAGTATAGTTTAAGCGCGCGTACATGATCCAACTCAGATTTCCCTTTTTTCGTGGGAGAGGTCACTGACTTTCCCAATTGGAAACGCATCGGTTTTCACCTAAAAACAATACAAAATAAAAATAATAATTCTGAGAATTTTTGTAAATTTGCCAAGGCAATGCAAAAGCTAAGCTGCAACTGTGTGTGTTTGTGTGTGTGTTTAGGCATCACCTGAGCTGCGCTAATTTCAGGTGCAGGTGTTGGTGTTGACATTTCGAAATCTGAACGCGTTTGCGAAAATATATTAATACCTACTGCCTACATTAAAAAAAAAAAATCAAATAAAAAAACACAGGTAAGTACGCTGGCTCTAGTGCATGATATCGACTAAAAGATACTCTTTAAAACATTGCAGAGACGTATTTTACAATTTTTTATCTAAAAAAACTGCAACACCCAAGTATAATAAATAAACAAAAGTAATAGCAAAGCACTTATAATAAAATAAATTTAAAAAAAAATAAAAAATAAGTAAATAGAAAGTAAATTATTACTCAAATAAACAGAAAATCAAATATTTTTTATATTGTAATTACTGTAATGTTAATAACAAAAAAAAATTGTTACAAGTACAAAAAATTTACACTTTAACACATTTTTTTTTATTCAGTTTTTATTTATTTTATTTATAAAACGTTTCATTATATTGCTTAAAAAACTTAAAAAAAAAAACTGTAGCATAATTTTAAGCGACAAAAAATAAAATAAACTAAACTAATCTGATTGGCCGAATATCAGATAAGTTAAATTTCCAATAAGAATTGTAGTCGATTGTGTAAATCATTAAAAATACGAGCGGCTCTTGGATAGGCATATAACCGTTAGCTGAATTTACAAACGGTGTATTTCGCTTGATTCGTCGTATGTTGATCGAGAGCGTCGTCATTTAACAAGTATACGCCGCATTGGCTGGGCCAGATACGGCTGCTGACGTTGGCAGAAATTAGAAATGAAAATGCGAAATAAATGAAAGAAATAGGGTGCGAAGGAGGGTCAAGTGGAGCTAGCATTGAATGAGTCAAAGAATTACGTTTTATGTTGTTCATATTTGGTGTGAAAAAGCGCAAGACAATTTTTATTTTTTATTTTATTTTACCTTTTTTTTTGTGTTGTATTTTATTTTGTAATTGAAAACCCACAACAGGAAATTATTAACATATTTTGTAGGGCTTTTCCACGAATTTCAGCTAGCGAAGTCAACAGCCGATGAACAATTGAAAATTGCGCCTTAAACTTAATTCGGCTATTGGTCTTTGAACTGAAACTGAAACTGAACTGATGATCTATACTTATTAGTTAGTTATTATTTTCATTATGATGCCTATAAGGACGTAATGATACATGATTGTTCTAGATGGGACTAGGAATTCACTATTGGGTTGAAATGTATGTATGTACATATATTTTCTCTATCTTTTTATCCTCGCTCTCTTTAAATATCTCTCTCACTTCCTGTCTCTCCACCTCTTCCTCTATCCATCAAATATTATCTCTATCTCCTTATCTTTCTTTGCATCTGATTCTATCTCTCTCTGTGTCTCACTTATTATACCCTTCCACTCACACTCCCCTTTCTCTAAGTCTCTCTTTTCATCTCTCAGAAGTTACATCTATATCTCGCTCTTTCTCTCTAACACTCTCTGTCTCTCTTATAATACTAATGGTTATTTATTTAATATTTGTTTTGTTGTCAAAAAATTGACCTGTAATTTTGATTGCCTATCTGCTAGAGGTAAACAACCTAGCGCTAATCGACTTATAAATGGTAAAACACAATTACGTTTTAGCACTTTAGCCATGGGTACTACAAGTTCGAAATTCGAAATTGAAATTTAGACAGAAAGATGCGTACAATGTGGCTACAACTGGGACTATGGATGTTGCTCAATGAGGCAACGGTAAGCGAGAAACACACAAAAAGTGATGGAGATGAGAAGAGAGAGGGAGGGTTGGGCAATAACTGACTGATTGATATACCCTAGCATGCACGCCTCCTGAAATTCACGAACGTCAAGTGCTTGGAGCTGCCAACAAATGGGGGCTTCTGCCGCTACGACTATTGCCGCCTGAAGGTGGTGCGACGCAACCACGTGGAGCTGTCGCTGAAGGTTACACTGCTGGAGCTGCCCGTCACGAATCTAACTACCCGACTGCAGTGCTTCCAGCGTAGGGATGGGTATCGTCCCTTTCTCTACAACATACTCTTCGATTTCTGCAAGCTAATGGGTGCACGCAAATATCAGCTCTCATTCGAGCGATTCGTCTTCGATACGATCAGACAGCACAGCAACTTCAATCACACCTGTCCCTGGACTGAGGTGAGCCAATCAATCAAACAGTGAGTGCTTAATCTGTCAATCAACATCCTAGAATTACATGATGGTGGACAAGTTCGCTCTGGACATTAACAAGATGAATATGCCGGTGCCACCAGGTGTCTACCGTCTGGACTTTACCTTCTATGCCTATGGCATTGCACGCAGCCTAACTCAGGTATACTTCGAGAAACTAGACTGAGGCTAGGGCATTACGCAGCCGTTCAATGCAGTGGTTGACGTTATTCTTCATCTGAACTCATCTGTTTTCTATAATAACAATAAATTGTTTGTCTGGGCAAGTTAAGGCCAATCAAGTCAATAAACAATTACCGCTGTCACAAAGAACCATATATTGACCATATATATATATATATATTGTACATATCTACAATCTTACGAGGGCCTGTTTTGCTATGGATGCCGGCGCACAGTGTTGCGAAAGTATACGAAAATTGAGTGAAAAGTGAGAAATAATAAAAATAAATAAATAAGCAACATAAACGAAACTGTTTTTAATCAACATTGTTTTCAGCACAGGAATTGCCTGAGCCCTGCGAAAAGCTGATTTTAGACGTATATATAGCTAGTTGGGCCCTTGATCAGAAGCATATAATGGATTCAGTTCCGTATTTATTTGCCTGTTACATACTTTATCAGAAAACCTGTATACCCTGAATCCGCATTTTCAATGGATACTGGGTATAACAATTCAAGTGCGTCAATTAATTAAGTGCACAGTTGTTTTTTATATACCCTATATCAAATAGGATGGGTTAGTTTTGCTTGCAGAACGTGCAATCCATTGAAACATATCCGAATGGGCAACTAAATTCGTTAAGTTTCGCCAAAAGCGAGAATACGCAATATTTAATATTGATTTAAAGGTCTAAACTAATTCCATTTGATGAACTATACAATTACGTAAGCTCACTGATTCATTCTGATCTATCGGCTGCTTGAATAAGGTTACTAGTTCATGTTTTATTGAATAGTACTACAAGTTCATTATATTGAACCGTTCAGTTTATTTAGACCATTATCTTGTACAGTTGAATTAGTGTAATTGTATTTAGAGGGTTCATACAACCGAGCAGGTTATTTTTAACGAACCCATTCATTTGAAAGATTTCACTTCAATGAACCTCTTTCTCAGTTGAGTTGGAAAAAAAAGTCTAGTCAACTCGTCATCGCATACAGGGTATCTGCAAGTTGTTCGCTTCTGATAGGGCCGGAAAAAGGAGGGTGTGTCCGCCTCAAGCATCTCGCGCCAAATGGCCAAACGAGTATAGAAAGCGACAGTCAGACGACAGCGATTAGAACGAGATAATTAAGAATGTGCATGGTCAGGTGGTAATGAAATGGCGCAGACAAATAAAACGTGACAAATGACGCGATAGAAACTCAGACTTGGGATCGTGCACCGAGAGCCGAGAGACTCAGGTGACTTACGGGCGTTACGTAATGAGAATAATTCTATTGCATCGAGTGGGTTGTCTGGAGCGGAATGCTGATTGGAATTTTTCAAGTTTCGGTAGGTTATTTGAATGGAATGTTGGCAGCTCGACTATAAAATATCTTCTAGTGGAAGTTTAACCGGATTACCAAAAGGTTAGTGGAGTAACTCATCCCAATATTATAAGCTAAGAAGTTAGTAATCACTTTACACTTCTCTTCCCAAAGACATCTAGAGTATATCACTTAACTGGCTCAGTGAGTCGAAACAAATGAACCCCAAACGGATTTTAATTATACCAAATTTGAACTCGACTCTTTTTGCGGTCTAATCATTAAAAATCAATCAATTTTCTAGGCTACTTGAATTGTTTTATTCAACCCGTGAATTATTTAGTAGACCTATGTACGAAAAATAGCACGCATGAGTGTTACAATGTGCGATCCCATGACTGATTCACTCAGCATCGCTCTCGCTCAATCGAACTGAATCATATAACGCAATATATGTGCATTATTTCATCAAGAAGCAAACGTAAGAGAACAGAAATGTAGACTGGCAGAGAGAGGGAGGGGAAGAGAGCATGATAAACCTGCTCGACTGGCATCTGAATTATTTTTATTGGACAAGTCGGCTGATCCAACCAGACATCTATAAATATCGCAAAGTTTAAACAATTCAAATTCCGGTTTGCAACACCTGACTAGACGCCTGTGAACCGGGCCTAATGCATTCAGACCTAGCGCGTCGCGCCTACTAGGCGAAATATGCAAATGTGCCGTCTCTCTTTGTCGGCTTCTCTCTCGTTCCGCTGCCCGTCTCTGTCTGAGCTTTATGTAACGTGCGACTGCGCTGCGAGTGTTAAGTTCAAGGTTAACGGGTGAGCGGGTAAGCGGGTAAGCGGGTAAACGGCCAAGCGATCCACCGAACGGTTCGCTGTATGACAATTGATTCCTATTAGCGATATGACATTTCTGTGTCTGAAATAAATAATATTACTGCTCGACACTTTTCACACTTGTGACACGCCTATGGAGTGCGCGACAGGCCGGGCCAATTTCGAGAATAATATCTTATCGGCTGAGTAAAGCAATGACAGATCGGTCACATGGTAGTGTATTCACTCTTTCTTTCCTTCACCCTCTCCGTTATTCTCGCTGCTTCCATTGCTGATTGATCAATTGCGTTCACGTTGCACGATTCGCCATGCTATGAGCAGCCCATTTCGCCGCATTCGTCTCTATTTTTTGCTGTTGTCTTGCACATTTTTCGCCCAGCCAACACAACTCGTTTTCGAGTCGTTGGCGTCGTTGCTCTTCTTCTTTTTCGCTTTACAGTAACGGTCGCGTTTACGTGACGTCACGCACGGGGGCTTGTCTTGTATACCAAAGCAACAGCAGCACCAGTAACAGCAACAATAAACAACTACAACGATAAAACGAACGTGCCCCCAAAACCGGCTCGCTCTTGCTCTTTCTCTTACCCTAGATGCGCGCTCTCTGCTCTTCGCTCTGTGCATTGCGCTCTTAAGTGCATCGCTCAGCATAGGCGGCGAGGGCCAAATGAATGCAAAAATAAATTGTGAAGCTTTTTAAGACGCTGCAAAAATGTGCAATGTATAATGAAAATCTTTACAGCTCAGTCGAAAGTTGCTTACGAAGGATTTTTGGTGAAGTATTGAATTGGGATATTTTGATGCTCTATAGCGTGTAGGTGTGAGTATGTATGTATGTGCACATGTGAACGTGCGAGTGTGTGTGTGATCTGTGCAAAATCACACATGTGACCCAGTAGAAAGTGTGAATGTTATTAGCTAACTGTTAACTTGCTGCAGCCTAATGAACGCAGTTAGCAACTGTTTACTTAATTATCATATACTCATGTACATATTTTAGAGAATTTATTTTATAATAGAACAAAAATGTATTTATTTACATATACTTATGTACTTATGCAGTTATAAATATACATACATATGTATGTATGTATGTATTTAAACAAAATAACAATGTGTCCTGCTTATAGCATTCTTAACCTAAAGCCAAATCGGAAATCAAGCCGTTGGCATCTTTTTGGCAACCTGCCTGCCATTCACGAGGTATTTGTGAAAACGTGCAGAGTAACTAAGTGCATTAACCAGATCAGGGCAGAGGCGGAACCAGGAGATTCTGGCAGGTTCCCCTTGTAGGTCGACTTGCCCAAAGTCCAAAGATCGCAGTCACATGCAGAGAGTAGACAAATTGCACATAAGAAGAGAGCAAAAGAAGAAAGCAATAACAACCGGCACGATACAAGAAGAAAGCTTTGCCAACTTTAAAGTGATTTTGAAAACAAAATCGATATACGCGAAAGAGTTATATTGTGAGCGAATGTACATATATACATATATTTGTGTGTGTGTGTGTTTGTATGAGGGCCGTGAGATCAAGAGAGCGAACCAGAGCGAACAAGCATGTGATAGCAATCAGGGGACGGGGGTATTGACTCTGCAGTGCATCCATCGTCTGATGCGTTCGACAAACGAATGGAAAATTTCGATTTTCGTTTCGCTTTTGCCTTTTACATTTACTTTTCCAAATGCTTGCACTTCTGCATATGGCAAAGTGTTTGTGCGTCTGCGTGCGTGTGTGTGTGTGTGTGTGGGAATTTTCCATAAAAAATTCCTCTCGTGTTAAATTTAGGACTTAATTCACGCCAAACACTTATGCACACATACATACGTACGTACATACATAGATAGGTCATTGCTTAGGGCTGTATGTGTTCATTCCGAAAGATTCCAATTGCAGCTGCCTCATGTCCCAACGCTTAGGGAAAAAAATTCCATTGGCTAAAAAAGTTTCACTTTGAAAATATTCCATATATTTTAATGTCATATGGAAAAGAGTATATATATTATTAAGGTATCTCATCCTCATTCGTAAGACCAAAGCAAATAGATTATGTTACACGATTATAATTTCGTACGTTCTCCGCTAATCGTGTTTACAACGAAAACATTGTAATCCTCCCTTTTTTCATTTTCATAATATCACAATAGCTCTCTTATCACAATATCTTGTCCCGCTGACCTTGAACGCCCGACGCTGGAACGTGAACTGGAAGATCTCGTCTTCCGGCACGCTTTACATAAGCCGTTCTACAGGGAGCGGCACGTGTTTTCTATCTTGTAGGTGTCCGATTAATGCCAATTTAGGCAAGTCTGCGACTGATGCGATAAGCATCAAATTGTAAACCTACCGATTTGTATCTGTATGGGTAATATGAATTGGTACAACTTATAGCACTAGAAAGGTAGCAGACAGAAAGGCAATATTTTGATATCATAGAATAAATTAAATAATTAGCTTTCTTTTTTATATATAAAATATCAATTCTGATCAGGATCAGAAGAGATCATATTCAATCCTTTTTATAAGACTAATATATGATAATATTATAGCAATGTATTTTGCATTCTAAAAATCATTATTTTAGGTAGGTTTAAATATCACATACTATCAGATAGAGATCTAATTTAAATAATATTCACATGCAACGTATGTATACACAATATTATGGATTGTAATTCTTAAGCCATATCAAAGACAAATTATATTTGTCTTAATATAAAAGTTAGTTAATATTCCCACCTAAACTATAGAGCCCAGTTGTAATCTATTTCAGACTCGACAGTTTTTTTTTGTTATTGTCCACGCGACGCTAATGTGTGTAAATATTTGCATATATGGAAACTCTTACAAAGACAGGTCGAGAATAATTCTAATTTTTTAGCCACTTACTGTGGGCTGACTTTAATTCATAACTGAAGCAAAATTCATACTCAAATTATCCCATTTTAAAAATTTGATTAAAGAGCATTGACATGAGCATTTTGAACTTGTTCAAATGTAA